TAGATAGATAGATAGATGTATAGTCTTTTGGACTAAGAAATATTGAATTCTTTGAACATCTCGGCGCGCAATCATCCAAACCGTATATCTTAATTTTCGATCGGCGAATGATTTTTATAAGTTCGACCAGAGTTTCAGCATCCGAAACTTCACTTCCTCTTTACCTGCATTTTGGATGTATCCGGACAGCAGGATATTGAGGAAGTGAATATGCGCGTTTTCGAAGATTGGTCCTATTTACTTCCGCTGTTGGTAACTCCATGGTCTTGGATAGTGCTGGTAAGAGTAGGCTGTCGATTGTATCGTTATTATACAGCTGTAGCAATCTCTCAGTGCTAACTTGCCTTGCCACCAGAAGGAAGCACAAGGGCTGGGATACTACCAGGTTTCCCAGGCCTAGGCAGGAGAAGTCGAGAGGCGGATATCGGGTTCGAATCACGGACCTTCCCGTCAGTAAATTTGCGCTCTAACCACTGAGCCATCTCGTCCCCAATGCTTATATTTTCCATTGACTCGAATGAACTTATGATGAATAAGAGACAGAAAGGTTCTGCCGCCTGAAAGTCCAACGTTTTGATGCAGACTCTGTAATCTTGTCCAGTCCATTCGATGAAGTTACGTGTGGAATTCTGCCTGCCGGTGGTCGCAATCTGTTGACAGACACGCACACATAGCCTTGTAGTTCTGGCACAACTGAAGCAGTTGTCACCATCCCCAGTGAGTAGACTGCTAGTTTACGCGTAGATGAAAAATGTTTGATTCCCAGGTCTGTCAGTGCTGTTAGTGGACAGCAAACAAGAAAAGTGTTATCAAGTGTTGTCGGATGACAGTGTGATATTTTTACCCACGCACGAGGCAACAGGGGTGAAAGATATTGGTTTCAGCTGTAATTTCAATGTCTCAGCATTCACCATTCCAAATGACATTAGTTTGAATGAATTTATTTCTGTGGACGAAGAACACTTCGTGGATCAAGTGGTAACAAACTCATGAGTCCTGCAAAAACGATCCGGGTTATAATAACTGACACTGAGAATCTACTTCAACTATCTCAGCTGATTTACTGCCGTAACGTTCCTCAAGGGTACACAAGAAGGAACGTCTTCACTGGATGAGGTAATCCTGTAGGCTAGGGGGCTTGGAAACCTCAAAGTCAATCTCTTGGCTTGATTCCAACAACAACTTAAGTAGTCTGTTCAACTTCAAAGGTCAGTTTCGAAGAGATTTCGCCGTGGTCACGGCTAATGAACAAAGAAAAGCAATGGTTGACTCATTTTGGCTGGATACGGCGTACCTTAGTCGGTAATTAAGCACACCCTCTCGTTGCTCGAAGCGCTTTACAGCTGAAATACCGAATAAGGCTGAAGATTTTGTGAAGCAACACAAGAAAACTCTATTTTTGTCGAGTTGTGAATGGTTATGATTGATTTTTTGCTTTGTAAGAATGTATCCCCGTGATGGCTTCACGTTGTTCCTGTTCGGAGTTTAATTCAGCGGTGCTTTGGAAAGTTGAAGGACGAGATGGCCCAGGTGGTTAGAGCGCGAATTTACTGTCCGGAAGGTCCATGGTTCGAATCCGACCTCTGCCTCTCGACTTTCCCTGTCTAGGCTTGGGCTACCTGACAGTATCCCAGCCCTCGTGCAACCTTCGGGTGGCATGACAGTTAAGCACCGAAAGGGTGCTACAGCTGAACGACTTGAATAGTTGAAGCTGTTGCGCAAATTTAGTGACCGGAAGATCTGTTGTTCGAACCCGACCTCTGCCTCTCCACTTCCCCTGTCTAGGCTTGGGCTACCTGACAGTATCCCAGCCCTCGTGCAACCTTCGGGTGGCATGACAGTTAAGCACCGAAAGGGTGCTACAGCTGAACGACTTGGATAGTTGAAGCTGTTGACAACTACTTTACACGTTGCGTGACTATGTTTGTCGAAAACAGTGGCTGTTTGAAACATCCTTGCCAGGCCAAATGAAACATTCCACCCCAAACTCCCGGATACCTTTGGAACACACCAGACGGATGTTCGGGTACAGAAGTCTTGTGATCTGGTTCTCATTAGGATGAGGGGGGCTGTTTTGGCAAGAACTCAGAGGTTCATTATTTTTTCTGATGACCTAGCAGATAATTTCGTAGGGTGTTATACCCCACAAAGTAACTGTGTTCAAATTCTGACGAAAAATCGATGAATTGCATTGTCTTTAGGCAGCAAGCCTTTGTGCCATTTGACGCCAGCTGGGATTGCGCTGGAGCTACAGTCCAACTGTGTCTGAACACCATTTCTTTCAAGAAAGGACATTTTCAACTTCCTGGGAGCCTTGAACGATCTTGTTGCTGATGTGCCACTGTAAGGGCCTTGGCGATTTTCACTGGTTTAATTAAAGATATTATCTACTGTGAATATTACTGGATGTATTTGCAACCCCCTGTAGTCGTCAGAGGAGCTTAAACAGACCTAGTGTTCGAAAATCTCAACTACCTAGCCTAGGCGTCCACCGATCGGTGCACTTCACCTCAGGCTATCTCTAAACACCGCTTCATTCAGTATTAAAATACTCCAAGTTTACTCCAGCATACAAGGATACAAAAACAAACACATCTGGCCTCGAGGAATAATTTTTGGTAAGCTAAACCTTCGACTTGATCTGCTGTAATCAAAAGTTACCTGTCCCCACTTCCTCACCTTTCTTTCAACTTCCAACCCAGAAAGTATACTGACTGCACGAACCGCATTCGCACTAGCATAACGAATTTCGTAATGAATAAAAAGGTAACAAATTTGGGAAAAAGCGTCTTAAGTATGAAAACCTTCAGCCTCGACCAAAATAAACACAGAATATTCAATGCCCGAGGCCTTTGGAATACGACTGGGGGTTGACATTTCCGCATAGTAAATCAAACCCAGTGACCAGTTATGAACAAGGTCAGCCCCTGTTACAGTTGGGCTCAATGAAGTTGGTGGAAACTCGGGGACTCCGTTACTATGATGAGCTTCAAGAAGGTCAAAATTGGTCTCATTTGCAAATCAATTCGGCTTTCACGGAGACTCAACGGGATATCTCGCTTACGTATGCACGAAGTCAGCCCCATGTTTCAGTTGGTCTCATTGAAGTTGGCGGAAACTCGGGGACTCCGTTAACATGATGAGCTTCAAGAAGGTCAAAATTGGGCTATCAAAGAGTTTTCAACAAACTTGTAAGGGCTAATTGATGACTCGAGCAATAACGAGGACGTCACAAGCTGTATTTCGACAAACGCAGGCTCGACTAGTTGGTGATTTATTTTGAGGTCATATAGCTCAGTCGATTTATTTTCATTGATGTTTACTGACGTACGCAGGGGGGATCGAGGGGTTTAGTAAACAAGTCAGCTTACAAACGTTTTTCAGACTGCAGTGAATCCAAACTTGTGTACGGCTAGACGAACCCTAGTTCCATGGAATAGACTTTGACAGTCTGTTATGTGATTAGAAGCGCCAAAATGAGGTATGAGTGAATGATTCATTAGAGACTGATTTTTTCGAATCTCTACGTAAAAAGTTTCTAGTAACGCTGGCAAACAGGTTATAGTCTAACGAATATACACTCATTTGCAAACCAATTTTTTTCTCGAGAGACTCACCTGGAACCCAGCTGAATCTCTCGTTTATGAAACCAAATTAGTTTGCAAATGAGTGTATATTTGCTGATTTCGTGCAATTTGGTTTCAAGTAAAACATAAGGTTGACGGAAACTCGGGGACTGCGCCTACCTAATGAGCCTCTCCCCCAAAAAAAGGGCGAAACCGGTCGTGGGCTGTCGATGGATTTTCAGGGACCTTATGAGTAGTACATTACAAAGGTTATAGTTTAGTCACTAAAGTAATTAGTTGATAAAATACTGATAAGAAAAGTAGTCCTGATAATGGTTAATGGGTTTCAGCCATAAAAAATAACTTTCCTAAAAAGCCACACTTGCAGCAATCTGAAGATCAGGCTTACGCGGACGTGATTGCGCGAAATCTTTCCTGGCCAGCGGTGTCCCATACTTGAGTCTTGACCACCTTGTCTTGTACGTAGACATGTCTAGAGTGGGAAAGTCTCAGTTAGACTGGGGAAAGCTTACCACTTTGATGCGAATTCCACTCCTATAGTGCTTCCTGTATCGGGATAGAATTCATTCTTTACGAATCGTGTGAGTAGATTGGATTTTCCAACTCCCGTATCTCCGACCAGCACAACTAGCGTGGAAATCGTGTTCGACTGGAGATAAAACTTCATGACGTACTTTTAAACAGGTAGTCATACTTGTCCTCATTTGCTTGGTTCTCAAACATACGTCCTAGTTGATGTGTTTGACAAAAACGTCCAATGTATCGCACCGTTTCTGACAGTCACAGAAGCTGACCCAACGCAAAGTGAAAGACTTTTAAAAAGAACTTTAGTATGACATTATCCAGCGATTATTATGATTTTCTCTAACCAAAAGTGTTAAGACAAGGAGCTCATCCAATTCAATTCAAACCATGTGGCTTTCGTACAACCCCAGGTCGAAAAGTGTATGTTATCCAATAAATCTAACAAGAACTGCTTCGGACACCTTGAGACCGATTTCCTGCTCTAATTTGTGGTCTTACAAATGATTTGGATGGGTGATGCGCACAACGATTGAAACTATTGACGAACCTAGCAAAGTTTTGCAGCTCTTGAAGAAATCGATCTTTTAAACAAATAGCTCTTGGACCGTTTGTTGTGTCCGTTATTCAGAGTGTCAACATGTTGGTTCCACTCGCCAATAAGGATTAAGCGTCATTGAACGAACGCTTGAGAAGTGTTTTGGTTTACTCACTATGTTTTTGTTGTGGTCAATCGATTTGTTGTCACTCGACAAAACCTGATTGACACTCTGTTGTTGATTGGCAAAACCTTGGCGGTTCTGAGTCGATCTAGAGTCCGGTTGAACCGAAACGACCGGTTACGTTAGCTGAGCAAGTTAGCTAGTGATGATCTTGCAGACAAGGTTGATTCACTCTGTGAGCTTCGGATACTGTAACTACGCGTGAAGCATCTATTGGGACTTCGTGAAGGTTTATTATAGTCACGGTTTTGTACTAAAGTATCGATTATCGCTGTTAGTGGACAGCAAAACCAGTAAAAAGTGAAATATACTCGTTTGTGTACCTGGTTCTAATAGAATAATTCACCAAATGGGTGTTAAAACGGGTGTGTTTCCAGAGTTCTATACAATTTTGGTCCAAGTATAACGTAAGGGAACTTGGAAACTGCGCCTAACTGATAAGTCGATAGACCGGTCGTGTACAGTATATAATGGTTTAGCTGTACGACTCTTTTGGTGCTTAGATGCCATGCTACCGGAAGAAAGCACGAGGGCTGAGCTACTGCCAGGTTGCACAAATCCAGACAGGAAAAGTCTGAGGAGTTTACACCAAAGGGATGCACTAGACTCGAGCTGAAGCTTGATGCAGACATTTCAGTGACACACAGTACACGAAAGCTCCACAGGAGTGACATCTGTATTTGCCATTGTAAGTAGTAGATGATAAGTGGCGAAACTTCCAACTTTCACCAGCAAGAACGTCTCCACTCAAACACGCTTTGTGTCACAGAGGGATATTGGCCTAGGTTTTATCGCCTCAGTGAGACAACTGACGTGGTTGGATAGTTATGATGTTGCGCCAGCAAGTGAATTGCTGTACCCATTCTCCCCGTACCATTCTGTTGGTCGTTTAGTGGTAAAAAAAGGACCGAAAATGCTCAGCAAAGATTTCAAAGTTTCTGCTTGTTAGACGGCGAAAGTCCTTCATCGGGACCGATTTCAGACAAAGACATAACGAAGATGTGTTCCGCATTTCCCATCATTTACAAAATTGAGCTCTAAATGAGTGGACTTGTGGACCGGATAGTCACCGGTTCTATCCGAACTCTGGTACCTTAACTGGTCCTGTTCAAGAAGGAGCACCCTGATGTTAGTCCAGCCCTCGTGAGTCTTTCGGGTAGCACGGAAAATAGGTACCAAAAGGTATTGCAACTGGACGACTGTTGTTCTCCTCATTTTCCATTATTTATGCAATTTCCGGTGGCCCAGATGGAGAAGATATAAAATGTGAAGTAAACTAACGAATTACATTTGATCAAATTCAAATAGTAGATAATAAATCAACGGTTTCACACGAAGTAGCGATGATTTGCCATTACACCTGCGAAGTCCCGCCAAACGGATTGTTTGTCTCGTCTAAGTAATCGGGCATGCTTAAGATACCGGGAGATAATACAGTGGGGAGCCCCCGATGCTTAGAAAAGCTTAACCCAGTGGTTCCTTTCAGACGAAGGTCAACACGGTCACTTCAGACAAAAGCGACTTAAAATTGGGACTATCTCAGACAACCTTGTCCTTTGGACGTTAATTCAAATCGAAAACCGATCGATTCTCCCTCACTCCGGTTTGCGTTATAACAGTGTAAAATCCATAGATCGTTGCGTCCTATCTAACTTCAGCTACAGACGTCGGCTTCTGAAGAATGTAATATATATATGACGCGAATTTATTTTCCAGATGTATACCAGGTAGCTGACGTAAATTGTGTACAACTTTAGTGAGTGTCACCAGGTACCTACTAGGAGTAGTGGATATCGTGTATACTTGCGCAAGAATTTCACCCATTGTAGGAAATTATTACCAATGGAACAGTGGTGCAAAACTTACCTTGAGGTGCTTTGTTTTGAATGAATGAGTGACTGAATAGTAGTTGGAGCATCGTATAATAAGCCGATCGAACGACACACGCTTTCGGCCCAGTGACAATCAGCCAATCACGGGCCAATTCCATGTGTTCAATGGTTTTGGTGCTATTCAATGATTTTGATGGTAACTTTATCACTACTGACAATGAATGAGTAAGCAGAAGAAAACGTGAAGCTTGCAATAACAGGCTGCGTAGGATTGCATTGTTACGTTTGCTCGTTACCCTTGGACTGCCGAAAATAGTGGAAAGAGGTATCGTGTTATATCCAACTTCACATTGAGTATATATCAGTAATACACACGTATGGCAATGGTATGACGGGCGACGCTTTCCGAATAAAAAAAACGCATTCGAGTTTCCCCCGTGCGTTCGAAATGGGAGACATTATCATGCAATTCCTAAAGTGTCAGTGAATAGCACGATAACAGCTACAATCAGATCGTTCAAGTTCAGCCAATTTAATCGGATGGGCTGTGGACATCATTAAATCAAGAACGTAAAAGGCTTAGGGTCTTTCTGTTTAACACCGTTACTTCAAAGTTGAACACCAAAAATTCACTGATTCCAACAGAGGCTTCCGGAGTGATTAGGATTATCGAATGACAGACAGACACAAGGAGAGGAAATAAATCAAGAATGTCGAATTTTTGTCCCTATTTGTTGGTGAAAATCAAATGCATTATTCCAAAGAACAATCAGATAATTAAGTGACCATCACGGGGAAGTTAAACACAGTTTAAAGATTTATATATGCTGCGCTCGCTTGTTAACCATAATTGGTTAAATACCAAAAAATACGCATCCTCAAAACAGCTGTAGAGTTTAGAGTCCAAGAAATGTTCTGTTATCCCCATAAAAACTGAAAGCTCTTCTTTAAAGGATATTGTGAACAAAAGATCCAGCGGAATCGCTCTTGAAAACCACATCGATTTTCGGAACTCTATTTTCCCCTTTCTTGAGGATATTGGGAACCTTTCACCACACAGATGAATTCAGTGCAACAATTACATAGATATATAGCATGATTCCCAATTTCTGGTAACCGAGGAGTATCTTGATAATACTGACATCCCATATGAAGACCAAGGTAGACTAGTCCAGATCCGGATAACCACAAAGTTAGTGTTTGATGCAAAAGGAGGGGGTGTTCACTGAAGAGTTGATGCGGCATCGCGGATAGCAGTCGTTGTCATGTTGAATATGCTAAGGCAGTGTTTTCTCGTTCCTTTTGAACTACAGTCTAGAAGGAATTTACGGTAACCGTAGATTTGCATGAAAGCTCTAAAGACTAGCGGTACTAACCTCTTTTCGGTAAGGGTTCTCTCAATAAGTAATGGAGGGGAGTTATGGGGGCCACATTTTTCCAAGTGCGTTGATAAAATCTGCGTTGTTGTGCTGCTGGTTAGAATGTTTCTACGGGCACTTCATCACACTTGATCTTCATGCCACATCAAGCTCGTAGCTCGGCCCCGAATCCAATAACATCGTTTAAACGAGGGCTCTTGAATTTCGGCCGTTGACCGAATCAGGTTTGTGGTTTTTCAATATGGCCGTTTACACCTATCCTTCTAGGAATGCAGAGCCTGTCACATAACTAAGACGATCGATCAGCAGGTGAATTTAAAATAACGACCATCGTTAGTTAGTTAAGTAGGCAACTCGATTGGTTCAGAGGTACCATAGAGCTCGCTAGTGAACAAGGTTCAAACGATTCACATTGCTCGTGTTTCTATTTACGCCAAGTAGTTTTTGTCAAAGGACGAGCAAATCAGGTTGAATGACATAGGTTGACATTGTGACAGGACTGGACTTATTTACGATTTACCATGTGCTCGCATTTCACGATGCCTGACACATTACAGTGTGATTATAAAACCTCTGGAAAATTTTCCACGAATGATTTTTCAAAACGTTAGGTATCTCGCGCTTTGCACGTCGTTCAAACGAGGAAATTCGACTACTGAGGATGGCAGGTGGTGTAACTTTGAATGTGACCTGAGCAAATTAACACTTGCTGTGCACGCTGTTGCCTGGAGGTCAAGAGGGCATCACTGAAGTTGTGTCCAAATTTCATTGCTTAGTTATGACAATTCTAGTGGAATGCCTTGACGCATGATTAGGTGTTGATCTGCCGGGTGGTTGAAAATATCCTAGGTTGGAAGATATCAGCAGAAAAATCGATACAACACTGTTGAGATTATGCAGAGGCTTACCAGACTGCAGGATTGGCTAAAATCACCTTTAACATGCCCAAATGTTGTAGGCGAAACGCGAAAACAAAAATTCCTTAAGTACAGGAGAGTGGTGTGGGTAAGAAATAGCTTGCCTATGTTTGGTTGTAAAAAAAATTCATTCAAAGTAGTGCGTTCCATCAGTTCTATTAGGCCCGTCTGAAATGCTTTCTGATAGAACCGGTTATTAGTTCCGTTTCTTGCTTGGGAAAACCTCATTTAAGTGGCTCAGCAGTGACAGTGGTTTGTCACGAATTTATAGCCTTCGAGCTGAGTATGTTAAGCGCCTATGTCTATACGCGCCTACTGACGTACGCGTACGGCTTTTGACACTAATTCGTAGGTCA